GTGAATACGCTGCTTTTTCAGTCTATATACTCCAGTTTATGATTAATCGTTTACTAAATTAGTTGACAATTAATCGCTGTGAATCCGATTAATCGTTTCGGTCTAGTGTGGATGTAGTCGGGCGTTTGACAGATTGACTGACAGCAGCTGTGCCATCTGTATTCTGACGGATATTCAACTGGATGATCTGTGAGCTCATGCATTTTAAATGCAGCCGTTAATCGTTTTTTCATGTTTATCTCTCTTTTTTTTCTATAAAATGCAGAAAGGGATCCCCATCGGGCAGTTCTGCAAGGACTTCAATGAGAAAACCAAGGAGCTGAAGGAAGGCATCCCACTTCCCATCAAGATCCACGTCAAGGTGTGTCTCTTTAACCCATCTCTGACCCTCCTCTCTTAACACCCATCCCTCCCACAAATGGGGTTAATCCCACTGCAAGCTGCATAGCATCACTGGAGCGCCTCCATTATTCATACTCCACCACTGAACTAAGCCTTTCTATTTGCATTCATTAATGAAGCAACAATGCCCAGAGGAGCTTGGAGTCAAGAGGCATTAAACACACGGAGGAGACACGACTTACTCATAAAATGGGTGTTAGTTTGTATTTTACTCCAGCAGATATTGTTTTGACTCGTCGTACCTCCTCCTCACTTTGTGTGTTGTTTCAAATCAGGAGTTGTGTCCTCCCAGCCGGCTGAATGTGAGTTATAATGAGATTTGTGCTGAAAAGAGGGGGGGTGAGCCTAATCCTTTAAAAGGCATGAATTTAGTCTCCGACGCAATATCCAGCAACAGCTCTGCCAGCACAGCAGGGGCTTATGCATTAGTGCCATCTGCTGGTGGGTGTTGCTGCTCTGCATGCTGGGTTTATTATAGATGTGTTCGTTTTACTGCTGCATTTCGGCTGCGGCGCATCAGCGGCTTCCAGCAGATCGCTTTAAAGGGCGAATGAGCAGTTTGGGCAGATGGAGCCAAACGTTTCTGTGCGTTAAATAAGAAGTCTGAAGCCACAGGGCAACAGCTGGAGATGGCTATGCAAGTATTTATGCCACTTCTCACATTTTCAGCGTGTTTTGTTGAGTTTTATCTAAGAGATAAAATGAAAATGATCCTCAGTTATGAATTACAATAAAAAGGATTCATGATTTTAATTATTTTAACCAATGATAATGTGTAAAATGTGGCTTTTGGCTAAAGGAAATTATAAAATGACATAATTTTATAATTAGGTCATTATAATTATAATTATATAATTATAATTATTATAATTAACACTTATTTACAAGTGTTACAACTTGTAAATAAGTTGTAGCACAACTTGTAAATAAGTTGTGCATTTTTTGCAATATATTCGAGGGTTGGTTTTTATGGCTGAAAACACATCACAATATAAACGTTTATTCTCAGTCAATGTTAATAATTATTGATTAGTTTTTTATTTTAAATATCCAAAATGCTGCCACACTGGTGATGTGACCTTTATTATTGCATCCTCAGTTTCCATTTGAGCTGTTATACTTTTCTCTTTTCTGATCTTTTTATTTTTAAGCAGCTGTGGGGCGCAGCAGCATGACAGCACATTAGGGCCATCGTAGATACAAAAAAGGAGGAGTAAATTTCTGCCAAAAACTCAGAAATCTTCAGATTAATCTCAGAAATTTTCAAGAAAAAACAAGAAATTTCTGAATTTGAAAAGTTGAAAATTTGCTAGAAAAAAAATTCTGGAAATGGAAATTTTCTGAGTTTTTTCTAGCCAATTCTTGACTTTTTAAATTTCCAAGTTTTCACACAAAATTTTCTAAGATTAAATTTGCCTCCCAAATTTTCAATTTTTGGAGAAATTTCCTTCTCTCTTCTAGAGATTTTTTTGGCAGAAATTATATAAAAAAATTTAATTAGATAATTTCCCTGACCCAAATATGCCGTTGTACAACAGAAATCAAGTTGCAGTTAAGTGGCATTTAAAGCAACATAAGATTCGACTCAGACTCGCGATTTGAGACTTGAGAACAGTTTTGTATTTTCTATGATTTTTTTTTCTGTTTTGTTTAAAATCTCTACTTCTAATCCTATGTAGCTAAATTAGTGTCAAAAAGATTCATAAAGCAAACAAGATTTGTAAATGTACAAAATGGTTCACAATGCATAAATTAGTTCCTCAACATTCAGCAGATTCACAAATTTACACGTTTCAAACTGCACAAGTACAGAGGAAATACAACTCAGCAAATCCCTAAGTTCACGGGTCATTCCGCCTGCTGATGAAATTTAAAGAAATAACATGATATTTGGTTTTACTGTGACAAAATGTTTAAGTCCTGGAGGTGTGAATACTTTTTTGATACATTACACACTTTCCTGTGATTTTTACCCTTCAGACTGAATTTGAGCTGCTCATCTGTATGCTGCGCTCCACCGTTTCAGCTGGCAATAAAGGATCACTATGACACATCACAGCGCATAAATAAATATTGTATTAACTGCGGCTGTGCCAACAGAGGGAGCTGCATTGTCCTTCTCTCAGTCTGGAGACGGTTTGTTCAGCAGTCGCTCTTCACCAGTTTGATAAAGACTGAGAAGTTCAAGGTACATTTGAGTTTAAAGACGCTTGTTGCTGTGAGACTGATGAAGATGTCACAGTAGTCATCAGTCAACAGGCGGCAGAGTTCATCACAGACGCAAATATGAACAAGGTTAACAGATAAATATCACCTGGAGCGGTGATGGTAAACATAGCAGTAAATGGACACCTCTGCATGAGAAGCTAACGTTTGCTTTTTAAGTAGCGAGGAAAAATAATGCTAATATGTTTTCCTTTGAACGAGCCAGACTTTCTGGTTATCGCTTCTTAATCAATACTTCCCCTGGCTTATTTACAGGTGCTTTGAAAGTTTTCTCTGGACTTTGTTTTTTTCACTCCTTAAGTCGACCATATACAGAAGCAGAACAGAAAATATTAAAGCTCCATCAAGGTAATTTCAATTCATCTGAAAGCTGCGTATAAGGAAGCATCTACTGAAGGATGATGAATAAAGCTGCAGTATGCAACTTTTGTGAAAAATATCATTTTACATATTTGTTGAAACTTACCATGTCATAACAGTTTGGTAAGAGACAGAAAATATGTGGAAAAAAATGTATCTCCTCTGCCTTCTCCCAATGCAAACTACAAACAACCAATCAGAACTGGGAGGTGGGTCTTAGTGTTGTCAATCACCCTCTGTGTGGCGCTGGTGGCTATTCTAAAGCCACCAGTGCCAGTGGATAAATGGTTTTCCTGTAACGGTAAGTTGTTACCACCATTTCCACATTTAGCAGTGAGCACATAAGGTTGATTGGCAGCGCTAAGACCCTCCTGCTGGCTCTGATTAGTTGTTTTTGACTACATTTCTTCAGACGGTAATAATAGGTCAGGAAATAGGAGGAAGAGATCGATCTTTTCACAGAGTATCTGTCTCACACTGTCACAAAATGGTGACAGTTTTAATAAATATGTAAAGGACATATCTTTTAAAATAAAAGTTACATACTGCACCTTTAGATTCTGTACCAGAAGTATTTCTTAGAGATATGACATTCAGATACAGTTCATCTGCTCTTAAGACATCTGAGGGCTGAGTCAGGTTCACTTTCTATGAAAAACAAAAACCGAACAGTTAATGGTTTTCTAAAGCAAAGAGAAGCACAATTCCAACCATATCTGCAATACAGTATGCAGGGTGATACAAACCAGTAATATATGATGTTCATATGTATGTAATATTAAAGGGAACAAATCCACATTTTGAATGTTTTTTTTTTTTACTCCCATTTGGGTTTCTGCTGCTCCTGAAAACAGCCCAAATGCTTGAAAAATGAATTAAAATACATCTTCTAGTGTCTCAAAGATTAGTTGTTTCAAAAACCTCCGGAAGCAGGCACTGCCCAGACGGTTACCTAGCAACCCCAGCAGAGCTCCACCTGTCTCCTAGCAACCCACTGGGGGTCGTTGCCAGCAGAAGCTTATTTTGATTTAAAGTGACAAGACGCCATAAAGAGACTAAAATCTCATTATCTATTATCTGTACACACAAAATGTAATGTGATGTTTTGTATAGACCACAGATCTTTCCTAATCTGCTCAAGGAAGCATAATAAGTAACCCTTATTAGTCTAATATTAAATAGTGTCTTAATTTACATTAATACAGTGTTTATTAGAACATTTCAGCCAACAAACAAAGCAAACTGATTTTAGTCTGGTTAAAACAGCTAGTTTTATTTTAGTAATAGCTGAAACGCGTGATGTTATAGAAAGTATAATGTTTGGACAAAACTAGGCAGATATTTTTATCTCCTTTGCTGCACTGTCCTAGTTGCTAAGATACTCAGGAGTATTTCTCACAATTGTTTTTTAAAGACGTTTTAAAAACTCCCATGCCGAAGCTGCTGTTATTCTTTTATTTATTTTTGCCCCCTCGTCATAAAACCCCCGGTGAACATGTTTGCTTTATTTTATAAAAATTGTTGAAAAAATTGTTGAAAAACAAGCAATAACAAGCAACGGCTTCTCCCTAGATGGAGAAAAATTCAGTTTCCTCTGCTGAAAGGTCACTGCTGGTAGATAACTCGATGCTGATGACAAATCACCAGCTCCGTCGGGTCGCCTCAGTCCAGCCCACGGCCGCCTGTTTGCTGTTTTATGTAAGACAGATAAAAATTGATCCAAAGCAAACTTTTCACCAGATGATTTATTGATTGGATCAGTGTGTCGGTTTTTGTTTTTACAGCGAGGTGGCAGAGAAAAAGGGGTCAGAATAACTCAGTGAGGCTGATGAGATTATTTTTACTCTGCTCCTGAGGGCAGCAAGGAGAGCAGGAGAGCAAAGAGGGAAATAGAAATACAGCCAGTGAGTTTATTATCATTTTATGAGGATGTGGGGGTTTTCTGTCGTCTTCAGAGTTAGCTGGGATGTCTTATCAAATTACCGGGGGACGAAATGAGTGTAAAAGACGCTTTTAGTGGCGATTATTCACACATAACAAGGTCCAAACTCAATGGTTTGTTTCTGTCTTAAAAGCTTTCCCTGCTGTAAAGAGACCCAGCAAAGATGTGAATAAAAACAAACTGTTCTTCTGAGGATTCATATGAGACCAAAATAATCTAAAGAGGAGCAAACATAGCATTTTAAATCTTTTAAATCTTGGCAAATCATCCAGGGTTTGAATGGAAACCAGCATCTCTGCAGATCCTTTAATACAGACGCAGTCATGTGAAAAACTAAGTACACCCTTTGGTGTTTACATTGAAATTAAGAGGAAATTAGTGACCAGGTTTTGGTGTTTTGGTGATCTGGAGCGTACACTGCAAAGGGGTTAAAAGAAAAAAAAGTAGCAATGACCTTAGATAAGCAACTGTTGTAGTTTAATTAAGAAATGTCATTGCACCAGAAAATATGGAAAAAGTAATTAAAAGTGAGGATTTATAGATATGTACACTTAAAAGACAAAACAAAACAAAAAAACATGTTTCACAGAAAATTTTATAACTTTTGAAAATAAAAAAATGTAAAGATAATTAAAATAAAATATCCAAAGATCATTTGGTTTATTGTTTGTTTGTTTAAAGAAAAAAATTGTATATATATTATAGCATATTTTAAAAACATGAAATACTAGTTTAGCAAAAAAACTAAAAACAAGAAAATTGTAATTTAGTTTTCTCAAAACAGAATAGAAAGACAGAAAGTCTTACAAAAAACATTAATCTTTATAAAAAAGTACAATTTAAAAATAAAAAATTATGTATTTATAAATATATTTCTATAAAACACAGAAAGGTAATATAAGATATTTTATTTAAATGCAAATATATGAAGAAAATACAATATAACAAACTGATGAAAAAGTTCTTAAAATAAATTTTAAAAAAACCATAGAACACTAAAAATGTGTTTTTGGCCTCAGAATTGTGTCAATTTTCAACAATTGTTTAAAACAGATTCAATTGAAACAGAAAAACTGTCAACAGACAGACCAATTTTCAGACTCACATTTTAAAGTTCAGGTTGTAAATCAATGTTCCTGTCAAGGTAAAAATAAGGCCTGAGGATTTTTCTTCTTCTTCACCACATCCTGTAAAAACAGTCAAGGACACTTTGCCCCCGCAGATAAAACCATGTGTATGTTCTGGGCTCCAGATCGCTCCGGCTGGTCTCTTGTTTGGCTCTTTTCTTCTGCTGTTTGGTATTCTTGCCTTCACTCTGGCAGTCTTAAAGAGTTACTGAGCAGAGGCTATGCTCAAATTATTACACTAGAAATAAAACTGTCCATAAATTAGTCTCCACTTATTTTCTTCGCCACTTGAATTCACTAAGCCATTACAAAACAATATTATCGTTTATCGCTGGACAATTTCAGTGTGTAGTGGTTCGGTTCGATTCCGATTTCTAGGGTCACTGTTCAATTCAGAAGCTATTTTTCTATTCAAACAGTGTAAAAATTCTGTTTAAAGTATCTATCAATCAATCAAATTTTATATATATATAGCACATTTCAGCAGCAAGGCATTTCAAAGTGCTTTACATCATTAAACACAAAAGCACAGAGTCATGCAACATTGAATCAACAATCAAAAACAGTAAATTTCCTGCAAGTCGAAGTTCTCCCCCTATGGGTACTTCATCAAAAACAAAAAAGAAAGTATGTGACTGACCAGAGGAAAAGACAGTAAACAAACTAGAAGTTTCCATATTGTAGCAAATGTGACTTCACACTTCATGAACTTTGTAACTGACAGCCGCTCTGGCAGGCGGTTGCTATGGAGTTGCTACGGCAACATTAAAGAGGCCCCAAGCTTAGAACTAGCTCTCGCCTCGTTCCTATCTAACTTATAAACAGTATAAGTACATTACAGTTAGTACTCAGTCACAGTTTTTGAGTACTCTATCCACCTCTGTGTAATACTAAGGTAAATATCAGTGATATTTACTGTAGTACTTACTGCCGAACTAGCAAAATTAGCTTAGCTAATGTTGCTTTTATCTGCCAGCTAACACGGACATGTAGGCTACGTGTTTGTTACTACATGTACTTCCTCTGCCAGTCTCGTTATTCACATGAAGAGTTTGTACATCCTTAAAAATCCATTTAAATATTGATAGTATGGGTTCATTGATTTCAGGTCATGTTGTATGCACTCTTTGTGTTCAATAGGTAGTGAACTGTATGAGATTGGAGGCAGCTTGTCCACATTGTCTGACATGTTTCCATTTGGATCAATCCCAACAGTATTTGTAAACTTTCTCCAAAATTCCATTGACATAGAATTAAATTTGTGGTTCTGATATGTGGAAATGTAAAAATTGTGATGAAATGATGAGTTGAGATTTTTTATGATGAATTGTTGCTCTGTGTTTCTGCAGCCTGACAGAACGTATGATCTGAAGATCGGCCAGCCCACCGTCTCTTACTTCCTCAAACAGGCAGCAGGAATCGCTAAAGGGGCCGGAAAGACAGGTGAGAGCATTGTGTCCTCTAACCTGGCTGTGGCAGGCGTCGCTCCATGTAGTCAGTGTTGAGATGTTTTATTCATGATAAGAGGGAGCACTGCAGCTCACACAGGAAGAAGATTTTTCCTGGATTTCCACCTTTTTGCTCCAAGCAATCCTCAGCCTTGTTGCCAAACACCAGAGCTGCGTCTGTTCTCACATCCACCTCCTACTCACTCTGTTTACTCCTGCAAACATTGTAGGAACGAAACGATTAATTGTGATTAATCGTTTGTTGAAACAATCATCAATTAAATCGTAACCTGGAGTATACAGACTGAAAAAAGGCAATTTGCTGAAAGAGCAACTCACTCAGAGCTACAAATAAGCCAAAAACTGTACAAACATATTTATGCTTTCTGCCTTTAAGGTAAAAAAAAAAGAAGAAGAAAAAAACACCAAGTGGCAGATTTATCTTCATCTGATTCAAATTCTGTAAAAATATCTCTTTCTAAGGACCTTTTGTTATTCAATTATTAATCAGTAAATCACAAAAATCTAATAATCAGCTCAGCCCTGATCTGGTAGGTCAAGCAGAAAGGTTGAGTTTTCTTCATGTGAAGAAATTTAAAAGAAATTTGAAGAATTATTTTAGCTGTAGATGCATTATTTGCTACAAACGATCAAGTATTCACTAAAGAAATGCTATGTTGCTGATTTTAGGAAATAAAATTGGCATTCTCTTAATAAAATGATTTGATATTTGCATCTTTTAATATATTTTTAATGTTGTATAAAAATACTGCTCAAGTGTTTGCAATAAGTTCAATTTTTCTTTATCAGATTAATTGATTAATCATCAGCGTAATCAATTAATTGATTCCTAAAATAAACATTATTTGCTGCCCTAAAACTTTCTCTGACTTGCACAAGCTGAAAATTGCTTTCTCTTATTCTTCTTGTAACTGTAAAGGCCACGAGACGGCGGGGATGGTGTCGGTGAAAGCCGTGTACGAGATCGCAAAGGTCAAAGGTCAAGACGAGTGCTTCAAGATAAGGGACACCTCCCTTGAGACGGTTGTCAAAACCATCATCGGCTCAGCCCGCTCCCTGGGAATCCAAGTTGTCAACGAGTAAGATCAGAATCTAATCTGAGCACCAATTCTCGGATTATGTTGCTATGCCCTCAAATGTCCACTAGAGGTCAGCAGAGAAACCGCAAAACTATTAATACCGATTTTTTTTTGCTGTTTGCATTTAAGATTAATAAAAACGAAAAACATGTGCAGCAAAGCAGGTTTTTACAACATTGAAAGTTTCTCAATGTGAAAAGGGAGGATTTGTAATTTGAAATGGAGACGTTCTTGAGTTTTAAGTCACAACTATGACTTCATTATGCATTCATTCAGCCATTAATGATCTGAAATTTCCTTAATTTGTCTACAAATTATTGATCTGCAAAATAGCTAATTTCCTCACAGAGCAACAAAAGTATAAATTGTTTTATTTGTCACATGTTTGCATTTTGATTTTGTAGAAAATCATGGACATCATATACCTGTGGACATACACTTGATTATCTGATTAAGTCTTAAAATCGAGGTTCATGTTGTTTGAGGTTAAAGGTCGTTTTAAATTCAATATATGATAATGAGTTAATTGATCAGACTCTTTCTTTCAGTCAAATGTTATAAAAAGAAAATAAATTATTCAACCAACCACTAATCACCTTAGTAAATAACATAAATACAATTATTAGTTAGTTTTGTCTTATTTTAAGTGTACTAAGAAATTTGCCCTAGAAACTAAATCAAAGTCAATTGATCAAATTGGTTATTTTTCCAGAGTATTGCTTGTAAGCAAACTTCCTCTGCACCATTTTACCTTTCATATAGACAGATACTTATCATTCATGACAAACGCTCTGCTCTGTTTATTTTACTTTTTCTCATTATTCAGAGACATTCTGCTTTTGCCTCCTTAAAATGCTTATCAAAGGATCTGTTGAAACCTGTCAAACCTAACGTCTGATAGGTGCAACACATTATGGTTTATTGCTTGTAACCTCAGAAGATAAATTGCTATCGTTGCCTCATTAATGGTGGATTCATCTGAAGGTGGTTGGTTCAGCGCTGCTGCAGTAAAGCATTTGTTCGCTGTCTGATCGTCCAGTTTTATTAAGATTAAATCACCGGGCGACAGCTTTTTATTGCTCACACTTATGGGGGTAAGTTGTGGTAAATCTGTGTTTCCTTGAGATAATTTTGTTTTATTTCCTGTCCAGTCTTTCAGCAGATGAGTACAAAGTCTTCCTGGAGCAGAGAGAGGAGAAGCTGAAGGCGGATGCTGCCGCAGCAGCTGCAGCCGCCGCAGCCGAGGCCACAGCGGGGAAAAGGAAATAAAAGCCTGCAATAGTTTCCTGTATTTGTTTATTTTGACTTTATACATGTACTACATTCACTTAAAACCTGATTAATAAAAGTTTTATGTTAACAAAGAGTTACCTGATTTGTTTTGTCTGCAACAAAAACATCAACTCTGCTTCTGAAAATATTTATGACTGTAATTTATTGGTGCTGAAGAGCAAAGAAGGTAATTGTTCTGCCTCTGTAGGGTTTGTATTTTCAGCCTCTTTGACGCTATTGTCCATTATTAACTCTTCTGGAAGCGGTTTGGCTCTAAGACACGTTGTGCAGATGGTATCCTCCATATTTCACAAGTTTTTTCAATCTTTCTGGGATCTGAAAGTTCCAGCACATTAATTATTGGTTCAAATGTCAAGAATTCCTGATGTGGAGATATTTTTGATATTATTGAATTTCAGAGGAACCTTTGTTCTTTCAGCAAATATCTTGTTTAAGCTTCTACCCAAAACACTGAAGTTTTGTTTAATTTTAGGGGGATTTCTTTGGTACATAAAAGCAATTATTTAATTTTAATTTTTAAAAATTAAATTTGATTAAAAAGGAAAAAAAGATCATTTAAACAAGGAGTTCTTCAATGTTTTATTTTGCGGGTCTTAAAGGTGCTGTGTGGGTGTTTTTGAGATTTTTGTTTTTATCTTTAAATATACATTGACACAGTAACCCAACATATAACAAATTAATAAAATTAGTCATAAAACAATTATATTTCAGACAGAAATCTGTTAATTATGTTAAAAGTTTAGCATTCATTCCAAATAACAGTTTGTTCATTGCAATGACATTTTTAGGCTGTCACTTTTGTACTGAAACTTAGGATAAAAACCTGAAATAAAGAATTTAGATAAGTAGATAGAAATGGCATATTAACAACTTCAACTGACCAAAGCAAAGTTTTTCACAGATGGAATCACAGACAGAAATTGGTATGAAATAACATAAGAAATAAAGCAGGATTTGGCAATAAAATAACAAAAATAATAGTAGAGTAATAAACCATGATTTACTCGATTCCAGTTTCATTGCAATTACGATTTCCCAATACTGAGGTCAATAAAGTACAACAACTTTGAGGGTTTTCGTTTTCGTGAATGGTTCAACCATAGACGACATATACGTCATAGACATATATGTTCATGTCTATGGATACAACGGAGTGAATTTCCCTGGATGGCAATAACAGAACCGTCGTTGTGCGCATGCGCGAAATATCCCGGATGTAAACAGTAGCATATACTCGGTGCCGTTAAAGGCTGCTGGTAGCACGAACGACCGTTAAAAAGTATGGACGCATATCACATTTAAAGCTGCAGCATGTAACTTTTCTAAAATATATATAGATAATTTTATATTTGTTGAAACTGTCACTATGATGTGACTGTATGAGATAAATAATATGTGAAAAAAATCGATCTTCTCTGGCCTGTCCCAGTGCTAACGACCAATCAGAGCCAGGAGGCGGGTCTTGTCGCTGTCAATCACAATATCTTGTGGCGCTGCTCCTCCTCCCTCCCAAACACCCGGCTCTCACCTCTTTGCTCTTGGCTACGCTGCAATTAGCATAGCCAGTTGTGAATGCTAAAGCTAGTTAGCATAGCTACAAATGACGCGGATTAACGGTTTTCCTGTAACAGTAAGTTGTTTCTCTGCTATTTGCACATTTAGGTATTTTTAGTAATTTTAGAAGATGTTTTCAACATTGAGTAACTAAATCTGTGCGTTTATTTTATCATATTCTAAAACATGACTTATTTTTAGTTTATAGCTGATATTTTAAATTGTAAACATAACGGTTGTAAGAGTGTGGTCTTTCAGCTTACACTGTTTTAATATTTTTTGCATACTTCCGCAGCTTGTACGGTGAAACTACCTTATAGTATAGTGGGAGGAAAACATCCCTACTTTAAATGTTATTGTTTTGCAGTGATTGAATTAGTAGATAAATAATTACATAGAATAGTGTTCTGTTATAACAAATTAGATGCACAAAAACAAGTTCAGTCACTTGTTTTTTATTATTATTATTATTATTAATTGTTTGCATTAGACCCAGAATAATCAACTTTAAAATTGTTTTCTTTAGTCAGTCAGTCAGTCTGACTTAAGGGGCTGGGGGGTTTTCTATCACCATCAGAAGAAGACGATATTCCTAACAAGAAAACCATAAACTGTATTATGTTTGCCAATCATAAGTCAAATGAATCTTACACATTCATCAACATCAGTGCTATTTTTGTAATTTGATTAAAGGATTACTAACCATGAGCCAAGTCTTGATAACTTTATTGATTTTGTAGCTGCAGTTCATCCCTGGTCAAATTTATATTAAGACTTCGTAAAGAACTGACCTATGTTTGTATTTAAAGTGTCAGTTACACACACACACAAAAAAAAAAACACTTGCGGCATTTAAAAAGATGAACTACTGTGCCTTACAAAAGTTTTTAATCATAAATATTTCTCTCAGAATACTATAAATGCAGAGTGTTGCTGTTTTTGTCTAATATAACATAGAAACATTGTACAGTTATCAGAAGTAGAAACATTAAACTCAAGATGTGGAAATAAGAGCCATGATTCGCAGAAGTTGAGCCATTTTCTTTAAAGTAACTGGATTATTTGAATTAAACCAGATTTAAAGATTAATAATTATTATATAAATACATGTGGTTATTATCATTTAGTGATTTGGAGGTGACAGTTGTCAAGATCTTCACCCTCGGAAATGTTGGAGTCGTCGTTGTTTCCTGAACAATGTGGCTCAATAAACATGGCTGCAGTCCTTCATCATATTCATCTTCCTCTTCTTCATCACTCCATCTGGCTTCTTCCTCTAAAACTGCAGAGAAATTGCTCGCAACTCCCTCCACTTCTGTGTACTCAGCTTTTGTCGTTTATAGTTTGATTTACCCTGATTACGTCACAAGATGGCGCCGGCGTTTCACCCAATTACCGAAACAGCCACAATCTGCATCTATAGCAAGAGAAATATATATCATTAAAAGCTTTTGTGTTCACAAAATGTAAGGAGAGTGGTTCGTCTTTTTAAATCATGTAAGTGTTTTTATTGTTTCAGTGACACTTTAAGTAATTCAGTTGCTTTATTCTTGTCTAAAAGCAGAGATGGGTAGAGTACACAGAAACTGGGCACTACTTCAATATATTTATACTCTAGTAAAATGAAAACGTAGTTATCCAAGAAATTACTCCAGAGTAAAAACATATTTCGTAAAAAGTCTACTGATCAAATTATCAAACATTTAATATTTAAACACTACACAATCAGACGGACCAAATTATAAAGTTAAGTGGAAATTTTGGTATTTTAAGGACAAAAATTACAATAATTCACATAAGTAACAGAAAATAGAATCAGTTTCAATAAAAGAAACGTGCTAAACTTTAACAAAAACTGCAGGTGTGTGTCTGGTGAATTATTGGTTAAAAAAATAATTGTTTTTCATTGAGTGGGTAGAGAATCCAGAAATTTTATTCAAATAAGAGTAGAGACACATCATAATAAAATCAACTGGTTGGAACTCTAAACCTTCATGTCTGTTTTAATTATTTAACCTTCCTCGTTGCTTCCTAGTCGGGGTAGGATTGTATTTGCTGAAGCTACAGTGAGGTTTAAACCCTTCCTTTCCCTTTGGCCTCCTCCTAACCTTTTTTCATATTCTTATACAACACAGTGATTCAATGGACTCCTTGAAGGTGCAGTGCATGAGTTTTCCAGAAGATAGCAGCAGTCAGCTGTGTGCAGTGATCTCACCTCCATCAAGAGCCACTGCGGCAGGTAGCGCTGGAACAAAATGTTCACTCGCAGAAAAAAAATGCAACGCCTAAGACTTTGCTTCATTAGATATCTTGAGTTTTGGGTTAATATTTGCCTCAAATTCAATTTGTGGAGCAAATCTTAGGAGGGGGGAAAAATGCATATTTGGTTTATTTTATGTTATGTCTCTTCATCTTTTGTGGCATTGGGGGATCAGGTTGTTCCGTTTCCATTTTTACTCCTTTTTTTTCTTACTGTACCTCTAATTTTAGCCTCTTTCTTTGCCAGCCCTCCCCTCTCTGATGCTTCTGAATAGAGGCTGAGAATAGACGCAAGGCTGTTTCCAGTCAGAGCAGGAATGCCTATATATGGAGCTCCACGCCACGCTGAGCGAGCCGCAGGTACATCAGCAAATATGGGCGACTCTGATTTGTAAAGAGGGTGTTGGTAGGAGGAAGGAGGGGGGAAATCGTCTTCCTACTATTACGTGTGTGTGTGTGTGTGTGTGTGTGTGTGTGTGTGTGGCCCCCCTGAAAAGAAGCCTCAATGCCAAGCGTGTGCGTCAGTCTGAGTCAGATAGTGTCTCATTCTGTCTCGTCATACGTGTGCGTCAGAGCTGTTGCTGAGCGAAACTCGCTCCGGGGGAAGAAACGCAGGAGAGTGAAGGGGAGGGAGGAAAAGATGATGGTGATGATGATGGTGATGATGGTGATGAGGGAGGAACAGAGAGCTCGACTCTGACGACACAAATGCATCAGCAGCATTAAGTGCACTTTAATATAAATGCATTTGTATGACAACCAAATACACTTATAAGCATCACAATAGAACACTGGTTCACAATGTCCATTCTGCAGTAAATAATAGGAATAATAATAATAAGATGTTCAGAATATATTCCATCTTATGCGATAAAAATCTCTCTCTTCTGTATGTACAGACCAGTAGCTGTTTCATACAAATGTACAAATGTGTACAACCTTTCAGAAAAGAACATATGCCTACATCCTGAGACGTAACGCATATGAAATAGCTTTTTTTCTTCAAATATCACACATACAGAAGTATAATTTTTACACTTGTATATTAACTTAGCCTTGAATAGCTAGAACGTAGGAATCAATCCTTTACTTGACCGTAGACAACTCTACGTGAGCATGTCGACACCATGGGAATTGTACCATTCTCAACCCGTGTCGTTTGGTAACTGAATAGAAATAGCACCCGTCCCCCCCAGTTTTCATTTTTTTAAAACAAAACCTTTTTGTATTCTAAACCCCTCTCAAAAAAGAAGAATCGCTCGTTCAACATAGTCAATTCGTATGGAGTGCCGTTTGTTAAGCCACATTGTGAAACGTTAACAGCGATGATTTCTTTTATTTACCCGGTAACAAAGAAAACAATGAGAATGTTCAATTTTCAAAGTCATATTTTGAACATATTATTCCTAAATTTATAAATCTCAGAGTTTCAAACTAAATATTTAATTCACAAGTCTAAAAACTAAATATTTAGTTAGGAAGCTGAACATTTAGTTTTCAACTAAGTTATTTAGTTTGAGCTAGATGTTTAGTTTTCAAAATGAAATATTTAACTCCAAAGTTAGCTATGAGGTAAATATTAAACTCGCAAGCTAAATATTTAGTTTAAAAAGCTAAATATTTAAATCTGAACTAAATATTTAGTTTGAAAAGTAAATATTTTGTTCAAAAATAATATTTAATTTTGAGCTAAACACTTAATTAGGAACTACATATTTAGCTTACTAACTAAATAGTTAAATATTTAGTTCTGCAAACTAAATATTTACCTTTTAGTTTTTAACTCTGACATTTTTAAATATATGGAATAATATTGTGAAAAAATAACTTTGAAAATGGACATCCACATGTTTTTTTCTCTGCGTCCGGCTAAACAAACCAAATGCTCACTGTTAGTTTTTCACTGCGTAGCGTTACAGACGGTATCCCATAAATTTGTGCCTCGCTGCACCGCGCTCCAGTGGAGCCACGATGCCGACCGTCCACTCGTTCGGAGTGGACGAAGAGTTCAGAGTTCAGGGGCCGTTTCAGGCACACAGGAGCCGCTATAAGCTGCCAGCATTGCAAATATTGATGCTGCAAGAATATCCAGCCGACTGCCCCACGGCCAAAAGCAGGGAAGAAGAAGAAGAGGAGGAGGAGGAGGAGGACCCGATGAGTCCACATTCAGAGTCTTAATGTACAGTACAGAGTAGCAGAGGGTTTGTGGCATGATCAGAGTCCAGTTCTTCATGTTTTCTTTTAGTTTGCAAATCACATCGATACACAAGATTTCAGATGGAGCAATAACCATGAGATGTTAAAGGTTTAAAAGTCGCAAACTCAAAGCTCAAAGTATCTCAGTTTCAGTTCCATTTCTACGTTTTTGGAAGGCTTTTAAACCAGAACTCGTCTGGTTCTGGGAACTAAATCAGAAGATTTAAGACAAGAAATCTTCTTTTTTTTCCTCTCTCTCTCCCTCTACTGATTGTTTTCGCACTTAGGTTGTAAACGATTGTAAACATTTGACTTCCTGTAACGTTTGAGGTTTGGGTTTGCGTTGCTGCATGTCAGGCAAAAAAGTGCTATGATTCATCCCACTACTGAAATAGCAAGAAATGCATCATTTGTTTTTGTTCACAACAGATATTTCACTACGAGTGAATACACATACGTATCTGGAGTTTGATCATCTCTGAAGCTCTGGAGAATAAAGGTGCACCGATAAATTGATCTGCCGATAAGTCCGACCCGATTTTCTTAAATTTGGAATCTGATCAACTAAAAATCAGCCACTGTCCACCCAGCAGGACATGTCTACAGACTTTACGTACCAACATTTCAGGCAGTAAAAATCGTTATCGGCCAAAATCGGGATCGGCAGGTCAGGTTTTTTTAAAGATCGGTAACTGAAAACTGCAATCGGTGCACCTCTAACTGAGAGGTCACCAAATGGAGCCAGAACCCAGGCAGTTCTGGGTCCATTCGGTCGTCATGTGAATCTGGCACCAGTTTTTTCTTTTTCTTTTTTTTCTTTTCTTTTTTGCAGTATTACACAGAAGAAATGACTGAACAAAAATATGTAGCCAATCTTTGTTCTTAGCAGACATGTAGGAGATGAAGTCCTTAAGTTGTATATACATTATGTATATTTATACACTTAATTGTTTTTTACTTTTCAGTAAAAGGGTCTCCACAAAATATGACAATATGCCATACTTAATGAAGTAAGTCACAGACTTATTTTAGAACGGAGGAACACTTCCACTCCCATCTGAAAGACAAAAATAGACAGTAGAACAAGAAAATTAGTGACCGTAGTTTTTCACATATTAAAAAAAAGAAAGGTGAGATAAACCGCAGAAAATGCTCACCTTTGTGGAAGCACTGTGGCGATGGATGACATTGGAGTTGATACAACTCAGGTTGTTGCCCTAAGCCAGGGGCGATCGAGGCACCTGCCCCAAACATGGGTTCCAGGACGGCCAGTTCCTCCAGGAGGGACTGAGTGCAAGACACGGCGGGCGTGGGCGAGGCGACGGACATGGCGGTGGCGGGGCTCGGGGAGGCGGTGAGGATGAGGGGAGGGGAAGCCGGGATGGAGGAGCAAGACGACACGGGAGACGACGCCACCTCCACCTCCATCTCCATCGCTTCCTCCTCCAGCCTCTCCCCGTCCGTCGTCGCCACGCTCGCCCCGCATCCGGCCATGGAGTTACATTGCGCCGATTGGACGCTACAGATGTGGCCCGCTCCCTCAAACTGGGAGGGTTGGTGCCAACACACTGGTGTGTGCGGAGAGGTGGGGCTGGAAGGGTCGGAGAGGTTGGGAGTGAAGTCGTCTTGCAGGAGGGTTTCTAGGATGTTCTCTTCAAACAGAGAGTCATCGTCGTCGAGGAAGATGGGGATGTCCAGACCTCTCCACGTTTTTACGGGATAAAACTCCCTTAGCATGTGGACTGGATCCGCCGCTTCGATAGCCGGGGACAGGAAGGGCGACGGAGGCGAGGAGGAGGGGGACAGTTTGGACAAAAGAGGATCCAGGTAGAAACCCTCAGCCAGGGAGCTGATGTGTTGAGCCAGGAGGGAAATCTCCGCCCGTTCCTTCTCCCGCTCCAAGGAGAAGAAGGTGAGACAGGGCTGTTTGCCAGGTGATGCCTCAGGGGTCAGCAGGCCTTCGGGGGGGCACTGGAGAGGCCCGAGCGGCACGTCGACGTACAGCGGCCCGCGGACCTCCGGCAGAGTCATCACCGTGCAATCTCCATCTCCTGGACTGTCAGGCGTGGGGGGCAGCTTCTCGTACAGGGCGCCGCTGCACGTCTCAACGGGGAACAGCAGGTCGGTGGAGAGGGTGGGCAAAGACAGGGGCAGCTTGGTGGAGAGGGTGGTGGGCGGAGCAGGGCTGGGGGTCGTAGTGGGTGGGGCTGTGGAGGAGGCAGAGGGCGCCAGCGAGGTGGAGGAGGTGGCGGTCGTAGCAGAGGGAGGAGGAGTGGTGGTGCCAGTGGGGTCGAAGCTGAAGAGCGGCTCATTGAACTGGAAGCTGGTTCCTCCGACCTGCGGCGTGTATGGCGGGGTGCACACAAACTCTTTGGTCTGCTGCGCCTGAGAGGTGGGCAGTGGCAGCGGCGGGTCGAGCTGGAAGGACGGAGGCAGGAGAATGTTCTGGGTTAAAAAGTCCAAATCTGCTACTGTCTCCACCGTGACGGGAGTCGGCGAAGACGCGGCGGAGAGGGTTTCTGTCGGCGGCGGCTGGAAGAAGCTCTCCTCCTCCAGAGAGGAGATGCTGGAGCGAGGGTCTCCCTCCAGCTGCATGGGCTCGGCGATGGAGCTGCCCGGCTCATCCGAGGAGCCGACGCTGCAGCCGGCCGTGCTGAAGTCGAAGGACTGGGCAGACAGGCCGCTGCTACCGGGCGTGAACACCTGGTCTGGGCTGGACAGGGTCTCTGGAGATTGCAGGCTCAGGCCCTCTGGCTGAGACGGGCCGGCGCTCAGAACCAGGGTCAGCTGGGTCTGCTCGGAGCTGAGCTGCTGGCGCACCAACCAGGCTTCAGAGTCACTGAAAAACAGAGAGGAAACAGAAACCCAGAGTCAGTTTCAGAGTTCATTCATGTTTCCTTTAGATTTACTGTGTTTTCTTTTTTTTTTTTTTTTTCCCAACTGGATTCCCAAAAAAAATTGGATTCAAATATATTAATTTCTTATTATTTTGCTACATTGGGATAATAAGAAATCAACCTGAGTATTTAAAGCGTTCTCACCTGATGATGTAGTTGTTGCTGCTGATGGGAATGTCTCCGTGCTGCAGCTGAAGCACCATGTAGAGCCAAACCCAGGAAAGATCGTGAGCCTGAACACGAACCACCATCTCAGATCTGCCCTCTCCACCTTCCCTCACTGTCAACAACAGTTGAGAACACGTTATGGTCGGTGTGTAATCACATTAATCATCGTTGTGTGAATGTGCCAGTGGGCACAGTGTGGGCATGGACGGCTTAATTTGAGCAAACGGAGCGCTTACACAGGCTGCGGTGCTGAGCAGAGGCGTGTGACAGATCCTGTGGGTGGAGGAGGCCGTACCAGGAGCGGGAGCGTAAAGCTGTCACATCGTAGCCCAGATACACAGTCATGCTGCAGGGCAGAGTGGGAGGAGATGGGATTTTTCACATCTTTATCCAATAAGCAGAATAAACTCATGATTTTTAGAGGTACAAAGGGCAAACTCACCTGTCCTGTGCCGCCTGGAGCCTCATGTCTCGGCTGTGCTGGGAGTTGAAACATGCCAGAAACAGGTTGGTGTCGGCCAGCGGGGGGGCAGAGGTCACGTCCCTGTCTGGCCCCGACCCGGAGCGAGTGGGCTGGGGCTCCAGCGGGGTGCAGAAACACACCCACACCGGGTTGGAGGTCCAGTAGGAGCTGGCGGCGGGGGCGGCGGAGGGTGGAGCGAGGCAGCGAGCGCGGATCAGAACCAGCTTATTTCCGGCACTCTGCCTCCGCACCGACTTGGAGGTGTTGAAACGGCAGCGAAAGAGACGGTCTGCGGGGAAGAGAGGGGAGGAGAGTCATTAGAAATAAACATTTTAAATGTAGCAGTTAATTATGGGGTACCACAGGGGTGTGCACTCGGATCACTGCTTTTTATAAGATATACAGGAAGTAGCATCTTAATTCAACCACCTTCGTGAGCGACTCAGTGGGTGGAAATGTCAAATTGTAATCAGAAGGTTGTAAGTTCAATTCCAGCAAGGGACTTTTAGCCAAGTCGACTAACAACCTGTTCACTGCTGTAGAAACATTTGTGAGTGTGGCTCTAATGTAAAGTGCTTTAAGTGGTCAAAATGGCTGGAAAAGAACTTTGTAACTCCAGTCCATTTACCATTTCTTAAAATTAAAAAGTGATTTTGGAAAAAATATAAAATAAATATCATCTATGAAGAACCGATTATGTGGCCAAATGCATTTCAATGATTTTTCATGCTTGCTTGCTAATTCAGCTGTAAAATTTTTAAGTACCTTGTACTTTTCTTTGAAATCTGAACTCTTACTTTGGTAGTCCTACCTTTAGAGGAAGTAAAAACGGTAAAATAAGGAAATGCCAAATGTTAAATCTGCTGGTCTTGAATCTAATTTTAAGCTCCTGGCTGACATCAGGCACAAAATAAGTTAGTTACACTTAAAAAGTTAGCGAATATAAAGTAAAAAGTTTACGATTGTTTTATTGTGAGGAGTGCACCTCTGGTTGCCATGCCAACAGCTGGTTGCCATATCTGTTGAGCTTTAAAATGAGAGACAGTTTTTACGTAAAGAAGCTGGTTTTTAAATGTGATTGAATATGTTTGATATGATCTAAAGTGAACCTTTTGTATAAATCAATCACCGCCTCTTTGTTTCCAAAAGATGTTTGAAGCAAAAAAAATAAAAAAATACTTTTAGGAAGATGACAATGACACTTTTTGGGGTTTTAGTAGGTGATTTTCAGTTTTCATTGTGTAATAAATGAATAGTAGCTGTTAAATCTAGGGAAAGAACACTGTGTCTTACCCATCTCAAGTGATGAAGAAGCAGACAGGTTGGTCCTCATGATGAAGTGATCTGCAGTGTCGATTATATCATAAACGCTGTCACCTTGTGCCACAAGATCCACCTGAAACAACAACAAAAACAGACACCTGGTGTTAATAAACCCACCTGAAACAACCTCCCTGTGTTGGGGAATGCAGCAGCGGCGTGTGTCTCACCATGGAGTGTCCGAGGTGCTCGGAGACGCTGTCTGACAGGTAGAGCAGCTTCCCTTCTCCGGTAAGCAGCATCAGGAAGCCCGGCATCGCCTGCATCAGCTCCGAAAGCTCGTGAAAAGACAGAAACGCAGCGCTCTCCTCGTCACTACCAGCAGATCCCGCTTCTGGGAAGAAAGGAACCAAACAGCTGTTAACGGAGAAGCGAGGCTTGGACGTATGCCGCAGTAGAAGCATGTAGTTCAGCACCGCGGACATCCTGCTGGAGCGTTTCAGCACCGCGGACAGCGCCGACAGCGAGGAAACGCGAACATTTCAGCACCGCGGACAGCGACAGCCTCAGTTTCACACTTTTATCAGCGACATAAACTGTCTCTAATAACATCGAGATGGGCTAAAGCTGCACATTTTACCCTAAAATAAGATTTTCATCACACTTTAGCTCAAACACTTGTTGATCTCCGCACTCTGCGGGAGATTGATCAACAGGTTGCCGTCTCAGTTCCTACCTTGGGTGAAGAAGACGGACTTCCTGGTGTACATGCAGGCCAGGGACATGATGTGCAGATACGAGAGCCGCGCTTTATCTGCATCAGAGATGGGCAACAGGTCCTTCAGATTTCGGATCTCCGCGTTGATCTGGTCCCGTCGCGCCTTGGACGCCCCTTTGGTTGAGCGGTACATCGTGGTCTGTTGCTGCTGCGGCGAGCCGTCAGCGTCCCCCCGGGTGAAAAGTTGTAAAGCGGAGCGCTGTTAGAAGATCTGCTGAAGTTTCCCGTCGGAGACAGGTTTGTAGAAGTGAGGGGAAGAAAAAGAAGATGTGCTATTGGACTTTCATCTCAGCTGTTTCTTTTTCTCCAGAGCAAGGTTTTTTGGTAAAAACCTTCTCCCTTCGTCCCTCCTTTCGGAGTGCAGGTGAATCGGCGGCTGCAGGTCGCCGTCTCTTCTGGCTCAGATGTCCGGAACCCGTAAATCTGGTTGAGGGACTCTGCTCGCCGGTCTCTTATATAGCCTGGGACTCCACCGGAGCAGGGGGGCTCCCGACGCGCCAACACCGACGTAAAACGGAGGGAGGAGGAGGGAGAAAGGGGGGATAGATATGCCTGATATGAATGCGAGCCGCGCTGAGAGTCTCCCCCTCCCTCCCTCCTGCCCTCTCCTCTCTGTGACTCTTCCTCGACGTCAGCTCTTCCCTTTACTCGGTCGTGACGTCGGCTTGAAATCGGGAGCTCCGGCGACGCAAAAAGCCCGATTTGGACAAAACCGAGTAGAGGGCGGAGCCATCGTAAAAACGTAACCGGAGTCACCGGGCTCCGGTGAATTGTGAAAGGAGGAGGAAGAAGAGGAGGAGAGGATCTGTGCTGAATACGAACGAGGTCTGTGTGTTTATATGTCTGGCACCTGCCTGTTTGCCCCGGACCCGCCAGTAAACACCGCAAGTTCTTGTTAGACCGCATGTACTGAGACTAAAGGAGATTATCTGCCACCAGAAGAGGCTTCATAAATATACATCACATCTGAAAATCTTCCTATATCTGATGATAATCACTTTATCTTATGTGCAGATCAAATTAAACCCCTTTTTAATACATTCTAAGCAACGTTATTACAGCTAAATGTTGATTTCAAAGCTATTCATGATTAAAACAATGCATGTTAGAATAAATAGTGCACACAATTAAACGACCAGAGCAATAAAAGATCATATTTTTCAACCATGACGTTCATTTCTGACTCAGGATTCTCAGTATTGTTATCTTTATTTTTTTTTTTTCTGTTCAAAGTTACAGACAAGATTTAGAAAGTCTGAATGGAAAGTCTGCCCGTTTTTTAATGAATGGCGCTTATAAATTATTCCGCGTTTCTAAAAATAGATCTCACCAGTGACCGACATGAAGGAGCGCGCCGCGCGCCCCCGCGTCCCGTCCCGGCTCCCATCCCTCCGATTCATAAAGAGCTGCAGAGGAAACGAGCCGCAGGATTTTTACCGCTCTGCTTTGACGGATTGAAGGTTCAGCCTGGTTTAGTTCCACGATTCAAACGAAATTCAAAATCTGATCGGTTATATTTAGTCTAATTACTCAGATGTTCTGATAAATTAGGAATAATTGGGTGAATAGTGTTGATGAATTTGTTCTTTTGTTATCTGAGATGATGAATAATCCCGTTTCAGAGCTGCTGTGTTGTTAATCCGATGACTCAGCCACCTCTGTTTCCTCTTCCGCCTTCACCGATCCAGACTGGTAATCACCTAAAGGTGCAAAAACAAAATAATCAAACACGAGTTACAGATTTGCACCTTCAGGTTTAGTGTTAAAATCTTTTTTTATTATTATTTTTTAATATCTCCGTCTTAAAATGGCGCCTGTCTGTCGGTTTTCTCCGCCCTGCAGCGGTTAAAACAGAAGAAGAAAAAGGAGGAGAAGAAGATAGAGGTTTTTTTTGATGGATCAGGAAAACATTCAGTCCCATCTACTAATGAACTGAGTGAGTCAGAGAGGAATCAGTTCACTGACCCAGTTTACTGAATCAGTTCATTGAAACAGTTCACTGAAACAGCTTAGGGGAGACAAATTACCATCAATTGTCCATCCATCCATTCATCTGTCTGTTCGTCCGTCCATCCATCCATCCATCCATCCATCCATCCATCCATCCATC